CCCATCCCCACGATGGCCCAACCTCTCCAAGTTTTTCTTCATGTGCTAATGAATTTTCGTGACAAACCAAACAAAAAAAACGCACACACACAGACGGACATAGCCGATTGTATATAGTAGGATGCTTTCTACTGCTATGCCACGAGCGTGATAGCAATCACTTTGGAACTGACAGAAATACTGTGGTGTAGTGAAATTCCCTTAGCACGATCAGTTAGCGGTTGGGACTTTTTATTTATTTATGTTTTATTGTTTACTTATTGTATCTCGCACTTTTTGGACGAAAGAGCTTAATTAAGATTCTACTCGATTCTATTTCTTCTTTTTCTCGGCCATGGCGTCCAACGTGCTTTTCGACAGCCCAGTAACAGCGCTCGTATCGAATTCCCGATTATCCTCCGGCTCCTCACCCGTCGTCGCCACCCGCCACAACATTCGAGCGATGACTGAAACAACCACGAGAATCTGAGGACAGACCGATAAACCTAACTTCGACAGAAAGATTCGAACGGAACAGAAATCACGTTAGGAAGATTAAAAGGGCAAATCGTTAGCCCGCCACTCACATTGAACCAGTATATGTTCATTGCATAGATTAGAACCAACATCAGTCCGAGCACAGGGAAGAAGGGCGCATCTTGAGGTCCGAGGTACACGGCTCCATATAGCGTACCATAGAGTAGTTTGCACAGATACCAGTACAATCGACATAAAACCCTGAAATAGTTGCAAACTTGAAGAGAATGAAAACTTTCAATGTGGTATTCCTTAGCCTTAAGAGCACGGTCCGCGATCAACTGTATAGAGTTGAAATACGAGTCGGAGGATGGTAAATGGGTCCGCGCGAACAGCCGGAGCCCCTGGGTACCTGTTTCGCGGCAAAAAATTGTAAGGGAGGTGTCGTGACTGACGACGACCGTCCTTGGAGACCATTTGGGCGCCGGTAGGAGGCCGCGCTCGGGTTGGCGAGAGTCGTCCAGCCCTGCTACGAAAGCCTGCTACGAAAAGCATGATCCGCGGGGAACCGCGCACACAGTACTATTGTCATCACTTTTAAATCAGTCGTCGTCCTGCGCTCGTCATGAGCGGCATGAGCGGTCGTGCAACCGGTGGACCAGCGCCGCCATTCCTTTTCCCAGTCTAACTTCGGTCCATGGTCTGCTTGTCACAACTGATCACTTGCTTCCATTTACTACTCCTCTCGCATATCCACAGGTATGCCTTCATTTTAATCATTTGTATGCATTAGTATTGATTCACCATTCATCATATAAGTTGTTATAATAATTTTGTTGATGTTAGCATTTACCCATTTTCCTACATGAAGCTGTTGATGATACTCGTGTTATGTAAGTGTAGTTATAGTGGGTAGTGCATGGATTCATGCTCGTCTTCCACATAGCAAGGGGCAGGACCTTTGGGAGCATTCAAGGGCGTGATGTCTCCTTGTGGGAGGGTGCGGACCTTTACAACCCCGCGTTCTGGCGTGACCCAGGTGCACCCCCGCCGATGCTAACATCTTGTCCGCACCTGGTCACGACAGAAATGGTGCATCGTCCGCAGTCATCGTCGTCGAAAGACGGCCTTGGCTGTCGTGATCGTTCCCGTCTGTCGCGCCACGCACGCAGTCCTTCACTCCTCCTACTCCCTTCAAATTGTAAGCGTTTTGCACGCAGTTAGCTATTTCTCGGCTAACACAGTAGATTCACAAGCGCATTTTTAGCAGTATTTCGTACGGGTAAGAATTGTCTTTAGCGTCACAACTGGATCTATTGCATACCGTTCATGGGCCTAGAACCAGTGTTACTGTTGGGACCAGTGGCAGGGGTCCCCTCGGTATAATTCCACATAGCGTAGGTTGCACTGGCTGGGTAAATCGCGCGCGTCATGAGTTCGTGGTGTAGGATCCTTATGCACCTTGCATATATCGCAGCTTGGGTAACATGGGTGTCAGTTGGTGAGCGACCCCGCCAACTATTGTGGGAGCCACATGATGCATGGTGCACTTGGTTAGCCCACTGACAAAGTAGGTCTTTCAGGTCGTGGCGCGCTTTTCAGAAATGGTTCGTTGCATGTTGTAGGGGTCCATATAAGGATCACAAAAATGGTTTCGTTTTTGCTATGCGCTTCCCTTGTGAGGCGCAGTGAGCAAGACCCAACGTCACTTAGAGCATTGTCATTTCATGTAAGTCTTCGTGTTGACCTAAACTGCGTATTTGCACTCGTAATAACTTACTCGCTTGTTATTTTTTTTGGTACCCCTATTCGGTCGCCCGCCGTTTACCATTAATGCTCGTAAAGGTTCATTGGCCACCACTCTGCTCACGGTTTGGTAGACCGTTCAATCCGCAGTTCATCTCGTTTACATTTATTTCGTTTGTTTTCAGCTTAGTCAACAGGACGGCTTTTTATGGCTTACGGATCTATCATCACCGCCCTTAGAAACCAACCTACATATATTTGATTCACCAGAGTGCCATTTGGTACCACTGCCTCAGCATTTTTCGCAGTTTACTGCTGAATACCATGGCTCAGCCTTCCACTCCGAAATCACGTCTCATTCTTCCATTGCCAAACCCACTCCTGTCTCAACCACTACTTCCAGAACGCTGCAGATTCACTTTTCTTCTTCTGTCACGACGACTGGAAGGTTCACGTCACCTCAGCAGCAGAAGGTAATGGTTTCCGTCAGTTCCCATCATTCGCCGTCCACTTCAGCCGATCGGAATTTCCAGGCTCCAGTTCAAGGAGATCCGTCCGTACGTTCGCAGAGTTGAGGCTCATCGTTCACCTTCAAGACAAGATACACGCCAGAGGCGAAGATCGCCAGTCCATCGCTCTCCTCCCCGCAGACAGTGGCCACAGGGAGCAGAGGCCTATCGATCCGTCAATCGTATGTTTCTTCTGTGAGGCTAATCATTATACTGCAAACTGCACTACCGTTAAGAGTCTCACGGATCGAGCTACAAAATTAGTCTCTGTTGAAGGATCCCTTTATTGCCTTTACGTCCACGCGCCAGGCAACTGCAGGCGCGATACGTTTGCGATTCGGATGAACATCACCCAGCACTCTGTCCTTACAGTTACTTTCGTTCGCGATATTGGACCGGACGTGAAGACATTCTTCAAAGCTATGTATTCCTCTACGAAAACTACTACATTCGTCATTCAAAGCCATGAAACATGCCTTTCTCTTTCACGTATATCTTCCACACAGTGTCGACGACCGTCACTCTCCGGGAAGGCCTCTTCGGTTTGACTCGGGTGTACCCTCATCCACCCCACAGCGCTGGGAGATCGCTGTTTTTGTCTAATCCCCCCTCGGGAGTTTTCACCCCCCTGCCAAATTGGCTAATGCGAGACAAAAAATCTCCCTCTCGCACTTTTGCAAACCCGTAGGTCCCCGTACAAAGTCAACAACAACCGCCTTTCAACTTTGCTGATCTATTGGGTCCACCTGCTTTGTTCGATGGTCAGTTGGAATACGATTGGTACGCGATCACGAAGGCAGTCAGTTGCAGATGCAGTCAAAGAATACATTTTTGCTTATCTGTGTTTTGCTTTACTATCTCTTATCTTCATTACCCCACTTACTCTCATTTATGATAGTCTTTCTTGATAACTGATTTTTATTTGTTTTTGAGAACCCTTAAGTCCTCACATATTTACTCGATGCACTTTGAACGAATATGTACATAGTTGTGTTGCCCATATTATTTTTGCCCAATATATCTCATGTCCCTGATCAGTATGTGACAGGCCACCCCCTTTTTCGCTCTTCTTTCGTCGCGGTCACACCAGGGCAATTTTTCTGGCGCCCGGAGTGTCGTGACTGACGCACGACCGTCCCTGGGGGCTAATGGGGCGCCGGTAGGAAACCGCGCTCGGGTTGCACTGTCGTCGGTCCTACTACGAAAAGCATGATTCGCGGGGAACCGCGCACACAGTACTATTGTCATCACTTTTAAATCAGTCGTCGTCCTGCGCTCGTCATGAGCGGCATGAGCGGTCGTGCAACCGGTGGACCAGCGCCGCCATTCCTTTTCCCAGTCTAACTTCGGTCCATGGTCTGCTTGTCACAACTGATCACTTGCTTCCATTTACTACTCCTCTCGCATATCCACAGGTATGCCTTCATTTTAGTCATTTGTATGCATTAGTATTGATTCACCATTCATCATATAAGTTGTTATAATAATTTTGTTGATGTTAGCATTTACCCATTTTCCTACATGAAGCTGTTGATGGTACTCGTGTTATGTAAGTGTAGTTATAGTGGGTAGTGCATGGATTCATGCTCGTCTTCCACATAGCAAGGGGCAGGACCTTTGGGAGCATTCAAGGACGTGATGTCTCCTTGTGG